TGGAGGTCCCCTCCCTCATGTTGACCTGCGTGCGCAACCGCCACTACGACGAGGCCCTGGACCTGGGCGCCTTTGTGCGCAAGCTGGAGACCCTGCACGGCGGCCTGCCCCTGGTCAGGCGGCTGGCGGCCGAGGCGCGCGCCGCGTCGGCGGCCATGCGAGGCGCACTGCTGCGCCGGCTGGAGGCGGACGTGGCGCTGCCGGAGTGCCTGCGCGCCGTCGGCTTCCTGCGCCGCCTGGCCTGCTTCGGCGAGCGCGAGCTGCGCCTCGAGTTCCTGGTCCGGCGCGAGGCCTGGGTGGCAACCTGTGCCGCGCAGGCCGAGGAGGAGGGCGGGCCGGCCTACGAGTCCCTGCGCCGCGCCACCGACGGCCTGCGCCTCCATCTGCACGACGTGGCCACGCAGTACTGCAGCGTGTTTGGCGACGGGGCGGAGGGCGGCGGCGGCGGCGGGTCCGCGGGCGGCCCCGCGCCCCACTCCGACGTGCTGCCCACCTGGGCGCAGCGCCGTGCGGAGGCCTACGTGGCGCACGTCCGGCGCCAGCTGCCGCGCCTGGCTGACGGCGGCGCGCTGGCCTCGGTCATGGAGGCGGCCATGTACGCGGGCGCCAGCCTGGGCCGCGCCGGGCTGGACCTGCGCCCGCTCCTGGCCCCGGCTTTCGAGGACGCGGCGCGCGGCCTGTTGGACGCCGGGCTGCGCGGTGCCGAGGCGGGCTGCCTGCGCCTGATCGCGGCGGGGGTCTGGGCGCGGCGCGGCCCTGCGGCGGAGGGCGCCGCCGCGCCGCACGACGCCCCGCCCGCCGCCTCGACGCCCGCGCCGCCGGGGGCGCTGCTCGTGCATCCGCCGCTGGCGGCGTACTGCAACGGCGTCTGCGCCGCGCTGAACGAGCTGCGCCACTGCGCGCTGCTGGTCGCTGCCCCGGGCGCGGCCGCCGCGCTGCGGGGCAGCCTGGGCCGGGTGGCCGTCGCGCTGCGCGCCGCGCGCGACGTGCCGCCCGACGCGCACGCCGCGCTCTCCAGCCTCCTGGCGCCGCTCCTGGCCGCCGCGCTGGCCAGGACCTTTGCCAGCACGGCGCACGCCCTGGGCCTGGACCCGGCCGCCCTGGCCCGGACGCTGCGTGAGGAGGACGATGGTGCTGGTGGGGGTGACGGGGACGGCGGCCGTTGCGCGGCCGTCGGAGCGCAGACCGGCGGCACGGCGGGGGGGGGAGTCACCAGACGCTGATGCAGGCGATGGTGATGCGAGGTTAGGGCCGGCCGTGGCCGCTCCAGTTGCTGGTGCTGCGGATGGAGGACAAGGGTCGGCCGCATCGCATGACGCCAGACCTTTGGAATAGCACTCCCTGTGCCTCTGGCGATTCCAACAGGAACGCCGCCGGGCCCCCTTTCAGAATCTGCGGGCGCATGTTACAGGGTGCTGGGCAAGTGCGCTGATCCCTGCCCTGCACGCATGGCTCGCTGCTGTGTTCTGGACGGGCATTACGTGAGCCAGGCGACGCAGGGGAGCACTGGCGCTGGGGAGCACCGTCGCTCTGACGGTGCAGTGCATCGCAGGACTTGGGCAAGAAGCTGCTGTACAAGTGGGAGTTAGAACAACGCCGCAGGGCAACAGGGGTTTGGGGGGCCAGCCTGCGGAGAGTTTCCCCCGGATGCAGCACACACAGGTACGGCAGGCAGCAGTGCGATACGCTGGCGTGTCTCGGCGCAGCCTGGTCGGCAAGCGCTGCAGGCACGATGAAAAGCCGGAGGCGCGGGGAGGTGCGCTCCGGGGTCCGGCGCGCAGCGGGTGGAGCGGGAAATCTGGGACGGCCCGGGGCCGCTCGAAGCAAGGCCGGGCCCTGCTCGCCGCCGATCGCTCTGGCGCTCGCCGCCGATCGCTCTGGCCCTGCTCGCCGCCGATCGCTCTGGCCCTGCTCGCCGCCGATCGCTCTGGCCCTGCTCGCCGCCGACCGCGCCCCTGCACAGTCGCCCCACGCAGAGGTCCCGGCCGCAGCCGCCGGTGAGATCCTGGGACCGCTCACTGCACCTGCGGGACGTGGGGAAGCTCCGGCTCCGCCCCCGGCGACACCTGGCCGGCGGCGGCGGCGCCGCGCCGGCGCCGCGCCTCCTCGGCCTCCCCCGCCTCGGCGTCCCCCGCCAGGCTGGCGGAGCTGGGCCCGCCCGCCACGTCGGCACGCGCCAGCTGGCGCCGCACCAGCGCGGCGTAGACGCCGCCTGCGCCCAGCAGCGCGTCGTGCGACCCGCTCTCCACCACGGCCCCGCCCTGGATCACCAGGATGCGGTCCGCGTTGCGCACCGTGGACAGCCGGTGAGCGATGACCAGCACCGTGCGGCCGCGCATCGTCGCGTCCAGCGCCTCCTGCACCAGCGCCTGTGCAGCACGGAGGGAGGGAGGGCGTGGTCGGGTGGGGAGGAGGGAACGTGGATGCTCCTCGGCCCTGCATGGGCCGGACCCCGTGCGCGACAGACCGGAGGGGGAGACACCCCACCGGCGGGCGCTGCGGCGCGCTCCACACTCCATCCACCGCCCAGACTCCCGTCTCGCCACCCTGCCTCGTCCGCACCACACAGGCATGACACGCCAACGCATCGTGCCCACCCCTCAGCACCTCGGAGTCGGCATCCAGGGCCGAGGTGGCTTCATCCAGCAGCAACACGGCGGGCTTGCGGACCAGCGCCCGCGCCAGCGCGATGCGCTGCTTCTGCCCGCCCGACAGCTGCACCCCGCGGTCGCCGCACTCCGTGTCGTACCCGTCCGGCAGCGCCAGGATGAAGTCGTGCGCATTGGCCAGCCTGGTAATGGGGGGGGGGGTATGATGCGCGCGGTGTTGTCAGCTGGAGACCATGGGGGAGAGACCAGTGGATGCGGGTGTCGCACCTGCCTGCTTCGCCGGATCGACCGTGGCCCACCCAGCATCTCATCACCCCTCTTTCTCAACCACACGCACCCCTCCCAACCGCCTCTCCTCCCCACCTGGCCGCGGCGTGGATGTCGGCGAGGGTGGGCACCTCCTCCTGCGGCACGTCGTCCTCCGGCTCCAGGCCGTAGGCGATGTTGCGCGCGACGGAGCGCGCGTAGAGCACCGGCTCCTGGCTGACCAGGGCCACGCGGCGCTTGAGCCACTTGGCGTCGTAGGCGCCCACATCCAGGCCATCCAGCTTGACCGCCCCCGCGGAGGGGAGGTAGAGCCGCTCCACCAGCTTCACCACGCTGGACTTGCCGCCGCCGGAGGGGCCCACCAGGGCCACCACCTCCCCCGGCTCCACGGACAGGCTGAGCCCCGTCAGCACAGGGTGCGCGGGACGGGCGGGGTAGGCGAAGCGCACGTCGCGCAGGGCCAGGCGCCCCGCCAGGCGCGGCGGCGCGGCGCGCCCCGCCGGCGGCACGCGTGGCGGCCTCAGCATCAGCTCCACCACCTTGTCGGCCGCGCCCACGGCGGCGGCCAGCGCGGAGAAGACGTCGCCCAGGGCCTGGAAGGCGCCGGACAGGCTCTGCTGGTAGAGCATGAAGGAGACCAGCGCGCCGGCGGACATGGACCCCGCCAGCACCAGGCGCCCGCCGTAGAAGAGCACGCCCGCCACCACGCTGGCGCCCAGGAAGGTGTTGGTGGCCATGTAGAGCGCGTAGGCCGCCGCCTCGCGCAGCTGGAGCGAGTAGAAGCGCGCCAGCTTGGCCGCGTAGGCCGCGCGCGTGGAGTCCTCGGCCGCGTGCGCCTTGACCGTGGTCATGGAGGACAGCGCCTCCTCCGCCACGCTGTTGGCCTCCGCCAGCTCCGACTGCACGCGCTTGCTCAGCTTGCGGTAGTAAGAACCGTACACCTGGGATCGGAGTGGGTGTGTTGAAGGGGGAAGGGTGTAGGCGTGTGTTCTGGGCGTGTCTCTGTGTGGAGGGGGGGTATACTGAGACACGGGGGATGCGGAGGAAGTCAGCATCTAGGTGGGGGCCCCTGCACCAACGCCACAGCCCGCCCCCCGGGACAATACCTTGCAGATGGCGAGGACGAGGGGGACCATGACAAAGGTGACGACGGTGAGGCGCCAGGAGGCGTCAAACATGAAGGCCAGCACCACCGCCGCCTGGGTGAGGGAGCGCAGCATGATGTTCAGGTTGAGGCAGACCTGGTCCGACACGGTGGTGGTGTCGGCGGAGAGGCGGGAGGTGATGTCCCCCGTGCGCGTGCCGTCGTAGAACCCCGCCTCCTGGGCCAGCAGCGAGGCGAAGAGCGCGGCGCGCAGGCGCACGTTCAGCCGCGTCATGGCCACGGTGAAGAGGCCGCCGCGGAGGCCCGTGGCGGCCGCGCAGGCGCCGGCCACGCCCAGCAGGCGCAGCGTGAAGCGGCGCAGCGCAGCGGGGTCGGGGTCGATACTCGCCGCGTCGATGATGCGACCCGTGTAGTAGGGGATCAGGGCCTGGCCCAGCGCGGCCGCCGCGCCGGCGGCAAAGGCCAGCGCCAGGATGGGCGTGTCGCTGGACGCCATGCGCACCAGCGTGGACACAGTGGGGGTGTCGCCGTGCGCGCCCTTGTGGCTCTCTGAGGCGTTTTCGTCGTCGTCGTCGGGGGGCAGTGCGTCGCCGCCCAGCAGGGGCGCGGCGGCGCCGGAGCGGGTGGCGCCCGTGCGCCGCCGCCAGCGCCGCCGCCAGCTGCTCGCCAGCGACCGCGCCGCCGCCTGTTCGACGAAGGAGCCCACCAGGGCGCCCACAATGGAGGCAAACATGCAGAGCAGGCCGACGCGGCCGGCGGCGGCGGCGGCGACGGCGGCGCTCTCTTCGGGGTCGGGGGGAAGCACCTCCTCACGACCCCACACCGCCACCGCCACCGCCTTGGCCAGCAGCAGGAGTTGGACCAGGGGGCCCAGTACGCGGATGCCCAGCCGCACCTGCCATTGTCAAGTGGGTGGGGCGGGAGGGGTGGGTCGGGGTGGGCGCTGGAGATTCTTGGCATGCTGTGGCACCAGGCATGTGTGCCCAGGAAAGCGGAAGGGTCCACCTGGCTGGCACAGCTTCATGAGTCACCGCCCCCACACACAACACCCCCACCACCCTGCCCCACCCTGGTGAAGGGTGGCGACCGCCTCATGTAGCCCCGTGGAGGATTCTGGGGCGTCATGATGTGGGCCAGCAGCACCAGCAGCACCCCGGTGTGCAGCCAGGCCAGAGCCAGGACATCGAGGTTGGAGTCGGGCAGGGTGTACAGGTTCACTAGGCTCCGGTACCGCTTCAGGTGCCACAGCCGATCTCGTATCGGCCACAGGCCCGCAAAAGTCACCAAGGTCAGCTTCAGGAGGGTGCTCACCCAGAGGGCGGCCGCTGCGGGGCGGACCATGGGCGGCCGCGAGGGTGATCACCCGGTCTCTACCACGGTTCCCCGCACCCACCCTGAGCCCCCGATCAGTGTGCAGATGCGATGATGATCGAGTTTATTGTGCAGATGCTCCTCAAATCCAAGCTCGACACGCTCCAGGCAGGCTGTCGGTGGGGGTTGAGTCCGCAGGGTTTCCTGCCAGTGGGGTGCCGGGACCGCCCCGACCTATGCATGGGATACTGGAAGGGATCGGAGTGCCGGATGATGATCTTGCAGTATTTCAGGAATCCTGCCGGCACAAATGCTAGGCAGGGGTGATCTCAGCGCGCGGGGACAGTGGCGGAGGGCCCACGTGCACGATCCCCCCGCGCCCTCGCCAGGTCGCTCAGAAGGCCACGATGGCCATGGTGTGGTTGAAGCCGCAGGACACCGCCTCCGCCTTCCAGGCATGCTGGCTCAGCCGCCTGCCCCCATCAAACACGAATTCCACCGGCCAGGGCCGCTCCCTGTCGCCGCAGTCGGGCCCATGCCCCAGCTGCCCGCCGTCCGCCGCCCCCTCCTCCTGCCAGCTGTAGGCCGTGCCTACGCGGAGGGGGACCCGCAGGAGTTGCACTGACATGATCCAGACTGCGTGCGGCGCGGCATGCAGGGATGCCCATGCTCCTCCCAGCAGAGACGCATGGGACAAAGCATTGCTTCATGCACCCTGCAGCAGATGCTCCATGACCTGACCCGGCACCCACAACAAGCTCGACGTCGCACGCCCCAGCCGCCAATTGCCCACTAACCTTGGCTGCCGCCCCAGCCCCAGGTCCAGAGGTGGCCGCGGTGGTCGATGGCGGCGCAGTGCTGCCAGCCGGAAGCCATGCGCACGGCGTGGATGCCCGGCAGGGGCCGGGAGGGGCCCGAGGCGCCAGACCTGCCCAGCCCAGGCAAGCCGGGGCCCCAGGAGTACAGGTGCCCCGCGCCGTCGCGGCCCAGGGTCAAGGAGCCGCCACATGCCAGCTCAGCAGCGTGGCGTAGGGGGACCTGACCAGAGTGGGGGGCGCGGGGGTGTGGGGATGGGGAAGGGATGCGAGGCAGATCGCAGCACTCAGAGCCAACAACAAAACCCCTGGACAAGGCACGCCGTGCCAAAGCGTTTTGCCTTTCAACTGGCTGCTGTAGAAGAAGTGCTGGATCGGAGGGCGGCCCCCAGCCTCCACGCCGAGCGTGCGACCCAGTCCCAAGTAACCCCGCCTCGAAACTCCCAGCCCCTCCAAATCGCACGCTCCCAGCCCCAGCTCACCAAGCGCGGCGTGTCGACCTTGGAGACCCTGGCCCTGCTGACGCCGGGGACAAAGTCCGGGTCGCCCCAGAGGAAGGCCTCGCCGCCCGCCGTCACGGCACCGGAGTGGGCGTACCCGGCCGACACGGAGCGCACGTCGTGCGTGCTCAGCGTGCGCAGCACGCGCGGGCGCCACTCCGTCCCGCCCCCGGAGAACCAGCCGCCGCCGTGGCCCAGGCAGCCCTGCGCGTCTGCGCCCCAGGTGAACACCTCGCCCGAGGCGCTGAGGGCCATGCTGTGGTGCTGGCCGCAGGCGATGCCCTGGACGCGCGTGCCTGGGGTTGTGGGGGGGCGACGATTGGGGCTGGGAGGAGGGCCATTCTGATGGGAGTCCTGGGGAGAGGCGTGCCCAGGGATACATGAAAGCACGAGAGGATGTGCACGGTTCCCAGCGCGAGCGCCAGGAGTGCCCAGGCACGACATGAGCAGGCCCCGCATCGGTGGGCAGACGGGGCGGGAGGAAGCCACATTTGCACCTGCCCTGCACGCTCGCTGCGCGCCCAGCCACCCAGGGCCTGCATCCCCCGCAAGCACCCGCGCACTCGCCCTGGAGGTGCTTGACGAGGCGAGGCGGGGACACGGGGGGGCAGTCGCGGCCCAGACCCAGGGCCCCCCGCGTGCCGTCCCCCCACGCCCACACCCTGCCGTCCTCGGTCAGGGCCAGGCTGTGCGAGTGGCCGGCCGCCACCGCAGTGGCGGGCTCCGGCAGGAGCACCTCGGCGGGGGTGGGGACCTGGGGAGACCGAGGCGTGTGCCCCAGCTGACCCCGGTCGTTCAGGCCGCAGGAGTAGACCGAGCCGTCGGCGGCGCAGACCAGGGAGTGGGCGCCGCCAGCCGCCACGGCCTTGACGTCCCCCTCCCAGGGGCCCGCCAGCACACGGGGGAAGAAGATGCTGGCCAAGGGGAGGCCCAGCCCCAGCCGGCCACTGTCGCCCGTGCCAAACACGACGACCCGGCGCAGCATGGGGATGGTGGCTAGTACATGTGCATATATGTGGTGTAATGAGACGATGCGGCTGGACTCTGGGATGGAAGAGATGCCTAGGGTCCAAGTGCCGGGCTTAGAGATCACTTCTGCTCAGAAAGGGTGCAATGAGTCCATTTACCACCATCTCAAGCTCTTCACCGCAACTACATTATTCTGAAAGTGGCTATGAATCGCAATATAGCGGTCGCGAGGACTTGGGGGGTGGGCAAACGTCGGGACTGGCCGACAACATGCACCTCATGCGGAGTGCATGGTGATCTGACGTGGCTCACAGTGCCTTCGGAGCTGGAGGAATAAGTTCAGTTATGCGCCCGCATGCCCATGTAAACCATACGCATAACATTGCAACTCACCATCACTGGTTTTTCGCCAACCGGTTGGTGGTGTGCCTTGGCACTCGCAGCAGGGAGTCAGCCTGCCGCGCTTGAGCGCCCGCACTGCCGTGCCCCTGCCGGGATGTTCAATCCCGAGATGATGCGCATGGCGCAGGAGATGATGAGCCGTATGACGCCAGAGCAGGTGCTCGGGGGGTGTCGTGCCAGGGTACGACCTCTCCCATGGAAGTGCAGTTGGGTGCCCACAAATGGAGCACCTGGTTCAAACGTAACCTGGCATCGCACTGACCCGCCCACCTCTCCCTCTTGTCGTCAAGATGGCTGAGATGCAGCGCCAGGCCGCCAGCATGTCCCCAGACATGATGCAGCAGGCCATGCGAGCGGCGCAGGGGGCATCCCCCGAGGACATTCGTCGTGCGCAGGCCGCGGCCGCCGCACAGACGCCCGAGAGCCTGCTGCAGCAGGCACAGACCGCGATCCCCCAGCTCTCCGCGCGCGAGAAGATGGTGCTGAGCGCGTCGGAGACCCTGAAGCAGGACGGCAACGCCCTGCACCGAGCTGGGAAGTACGAAGCGGCGGCCGAGAAGTATGCCCGCGCGGTGAACAATCTCACTGGTGAGTACCTGCTGCGGGGATGCTTTTGCGAAGGGTGTGAGGGCAGGGAAGGGGCTGTCGTGCATAGTATTTTTCGATGACCAGCAGTGCATGATGGGTATGCGGGGTGCTCACAGTCTGGCAATCAGTGGTGGGAAGAGCCTTTGGGCCAACTGCCCAGCGCTGGCCCCACCTGGGGGATTGCTGCAATCAACAGTACGACACCAGGCCCCTGCACCCACTGATGCTGCCCTCCATCCTCCACCCATTCCAAACTTTCCTCTCGCAGGCAGGACCGACGCTGCGGCCGTCAGCCTGCGACTGGGGTGCCAGAATAATCTGGGCAGCTGCCACCTGGCGCTGGGGCGATGGAGCGAGGCGCGCGCCGACTGCGACGCCGTGCTGGCCGCCGACCCCGCCAACCGCAAGGCCCTGTACCGCCGGGGTCAAGCCCTGCTGGCCCTGCAGCTCCCCGAGCTGGCGGTGCGGGACCTGGCGGCCGCCCTGGGCCTTGCGGAGGGCGATGACCGGGACGTGATCGCCGCCAAGCTGGCGGAGGCGCGGAAGCTGGCGGAGGATAAGGCGCCGGCGGCGCAGGCGCCGCGAGGGGGGGTGGAGGTGGAGGACGCTCCCCCGACCGAGCTGCGCGGCGTCGAGGCCGGGCAGCCGCGGAGGGTTGGGGACGTGGTCATTGAGGAGGTGACGGCGGAGGATGTGCCAGGGGTTGATGAGCCCACAGCAGAAGCACGAGGGCCGGCCGCGGCCATCACCGCGGCGGCGCAGGCGCCGCTGTCCACCGGCCTCGCCTCGGCCCCCCCCGCGGTCGGCCCGGACGCCGCCGGACCGGCGGCCGTGGCGGCCCGCCTCGGCCAGGACCCCGACGCCGTGCAGCACGCGCTCAGGGCCGTGGGCGAGCTGTCGGACGAGGAGCTGGCGGCGCAGCTGGCGGCCGGGGGGGCGCCGCCGGGCATGACCCCAGCGATGGCCCGCGCCGCGGCGGGCATGGTGCAGGGCATGAGCCCCGACCAGCTCAGGTGGGGCCTCACGGGCGGACACTGGGCGCTCATGGGACAGAGCGTGGGAGGTATTGCTACCGCTCCGAGGGGTGTGCGCCCCTGCGCCGCCGTGTGGCGGGCACCGGAGGATGGAACCCAGTCCAGCGCAGGGGTGCCGCGCCCACGCCCCAACGCCTCACTCCCATGCAACCCGCCTCCACGCAGGGGCTTGGCGGAGCAGGCGGCCGCCATGCCCGCCCCCGCCCGCCCCAGCGGCCCCGGGTCCGCAGCGGCAGCGCCCGCCGCGCGGTCAGACGGCGCAGCGGGGGCCGCTGGACTCCCGGGCCCGCCCCAGGACCCCCGCGCCATGGCGAGCATGCTGCGCTCCATGGACCCCAGCCTGCTCCAGAGCATGGCCGGCAGCGGGGGCCTGCCCCCTGGGACCCAGGTGCACATTCAGGTGGCCGTCAGTGACAGCAGTGTGCGGTCGTTTCCGTGCGCGTCGCTGCTGCCCTCACCAAGAGGATCGCCGGGCAGCATGGCGCAGTCCCCATGCCCGCCTCCTCACCTCCCTTCCTCCACTTTCCAACCCCTCTTCCCTCACGCCCCTCTTGCCACGCTGCCAGCTGGACGCCTCCACGATCGACGCAGTGGCGGGGATGATGGAGAGCATGAGCGCGGAGGACATGGCAAGCATGATGAGCTTGATGGGGGGCGGCGCATGTCCCGGCGGCGCGGGCGGCCCTCCCACGCCAGGCGGCGCGGCGAATGGTGGGGCGGGCGCGCAAGCCTTTGACCCCGCGGCGCTGCTGTCGGGGGACATGGTCAGCAAGCTGACGGACCCAGCCACGCTGAAGACCATGCAGAAGATGCTCAAGGCCATGCCGCCCGAGACGCTGCAGCAGATCGGGCGGCAGGCGGGGGTCAACATCAGCCCCGAGGTGGGTTGGGTGTGTCGTGGGCGCTGGGTATGGCCGAGGAGTATGCATGAGGGATGGGGAGGTGGAGGAATGAGGAGTCGAACCCGGCACATACGTCGACGAACACGTTCTCAGCTTTGAGGTGCCTGTCCCGACCTGGTGTCTGTGGCAGCCTGGGTCAAACGGCACTGGCTGATTCTCCCTGCTTGGGTCCATTGCCATCAGATTTACCTGCTGATAATGCTACAGCCTCGCACAAATCAATCTCATCCGACCCCTTAACCCCCCTGCCCCTCGCCAACAGATGGTACACAGGCTGGGTAATGTGAGCGAGAAGACGCTGGAGCGCATTGCCCGCGCCAGCAGCATCCTGCTCCGTTGCGCGGCCGTGGCAAAGCGGTGCTGGGCCCTGCTGCGCAGCCAAGCGGCGCTCGTCTTCGCCATCGCGCTCCTCCTCCTCGCCATTTTCCTGCGATGGAGGGGCTGGGCGTGAGTGGAGGCTTGAACAGGCCAGCATGTATGAATCCAGGGAGCTCAGGGAGTTCAGATGCGCCGGGATACGTGGGATCCGGGGTCCTGGCGCCGGTGAAGGGGCGGTGACCAAGGCGGAAGAGGATCCTCACCACCCAATGTAGTTCCGACAGACGCGCGCCCCCGATCATGCGAGGTCATGAGGAAGGCCCGACGCCAGCCATGACAGCGCAATTACCCCCGCCCGGTGTTGTTCCAGGTGTTCATGTTCACACTCACTCATCAGAAGAGGGGTCGGGACTGAAGCCGGGGTGCCACTTGGGGTCACGGCTGCCAGCAAACCTACCGTGACTAGCCCTTTCCGCGACACCCATGGTGCCCTGCATGTAGCCACCCTACAGACATGTTAGAGCTACAACATGTCCATGGTCCCGTGCATGGGGCGACGGATCCCCGCCATGGCCAATCGTTCGTGCGACATGGCTGTGCACGACCTGGGCATGGCCGGGCCCATGCCATGCCACGCTTTGCCAATGTCTGGAGGCGGGGCGCCTCCGCCCCGAGGTATCGCGCTCTGCGCCAGGACACAAGTGCCCCTGGACCGAAATTAGAGCCCTTCGTGGTGCAGGTGAGCTGGGACGTTGGCGAGGTAAGTATCAGCGGTGAGATGGGCCTCCCCTCCTGCGCATCCCCCCTCGCCCTTCATGCGCCCCCCGTTCCTGCTCGTCGCAGAACAGCGCAGCCCAGCGTGCGGTCACCTTCCAGCGGCAGGGTACCCTGGCCTGCGGGGCTGGCCTCCTGGTGCTTCCCCTGCCCAAGGACCGCCTGGAGGATGCAGCCACCCTGCTGAACGACAGCTTTGCCGAGTCCCTGGGCTACATATCGATGTACAGGTGGGCTTGGGGAGTGCGAGCGGGGGGCGGAGACTGCAACGAGCATGTGCAGTCCCTGACTATCACCCCTTGTGGTGGCATGAAGCGTTGCATTTCAATCAGTTTGTGAAGACCTCCTCTCCCCGTCCATTGGTGCGTGCAGGTCCTACCTGCAGTCCCAGATAAGGCAGTACCTGCGCCAGCACCTCCCGCTGCTGCCCAAGACGGTCATCCTGGCAGCCTTCAGGGTGGGTGATGAGCAGGGCGCGGAGCTTGCTGTGGAGGGCTCAGGAGATGCCGAGGGGGAGGAGGAACATCTCGACCATGAACCCGAGTGCGAGCTCGTCGGCATCGTGGAGCTGTCCTTTTCGGCCTCCACTCGGACCAAAGCACTAACGCTGAACCCTCCCCCGGTAAGTGGAGGGGCGGTGGTGCAGGGTGCTTGCTGGCGGGTCTTGAGTTGAGGGAGCTTGGCAATAATACATCGTGTGTGGCAGCTTTAGTGAATTGAACCTCTCCCATCTGTTGGACCATGCCTTGGCTTTGCCAAACCCCAGGTACTTGAAATTGGTCTGTGCACAGCTCGACCTCCGCAGGTGTCCCCACTGCCGACGCAGGAGCACGCCTACCTGTCCAACATGGCCGTCAGCCAGACCATGCGGAGGCAGGGCATCGGCAGCTTCCTCCTGTCTTCGGCGGAGGAGCTGGCCCAGACAATGGGCCACACCCATGTCTACCTCCATTCCAGGTGCTGCGGGCTTGGAGCTGATCAGGGAGCGGTATCCCCCTGTAGGCATGGCAGGGCTGCAACACGGTTGGCCGTATAACCCCTAAGACCGCCCATGTGCAGCACGGGGCCAGCATGCCCTCTGCACCCACAGCCGGCCCCCTGCCTCCCACGGTCTGCTCGCAGGGTGGACGATGCGGTGGGGGTGCGCATGTACAGCCGCGCCGGGTACGAGACAGTGTCCCAGGATTCTGGCATGGTGCGGCTCATCGGCGTGGACCCGCGATACCTCATGAGCAAGCCCTGCGGCAGCCGGGGCGCCCTCGCCGAGCTCGCGGCAATGTGAACCGCCTCCGGGGTGTGTGCTTTGGTGGGTGCCCGGCAATCCTGCAATCAGACCAGACACCCAGGCCCCTCATTGTCATCCAGCTGCACACTTGTAATACTTGCCGGACCCAGGTGTGAGGGAGGGTGGGCAGGCTTGATTGTCACAACAGTTGGCGGGCAAGCACACTGCATTGCCCGAGGGTGTTCAGACCTCGGGCACGGCCCTGCCGAGCATGCGCTTGACAGCTGGGTTGGCGTTGGTCTCGTACTGCAGGGGCCAGGGCATGGGGGGTTGTAGGCGAGGCGTGTCTCTGATGGTACATTTGAGCCCTGAGAAGCACCCCCAGCGTCATTGCCAAGGTACCCTCATCAGCGCGACGACCCAAGTCAACCAAGCTGCTACAACTCCCAGGTCACCACTCTGGGCCCATGCGCAAACACTCACGTGGGCAGACATCTTATCTGACCGCCAGAAGCCCCAGTTTTTGGTAGGGTACCCTAGGTTCCTCTTCCTGTGTGTGGAGGAGGGGTCCCAGACTTGCTCATGTTTGTTCAGGAGCTTATCCAAGGCACCAGCGACAAGCTCATCACTCAACAGGCGAGCTCACGTAGCGTCAGCAGCTGCCTTGGCGTGGCGCAGGCGGGCCTCGGCTCGGTCCCTCCGCTCCTTGGGGTCCTCCATCCTCCGCTGGATGACCGCTGTGCCGAGTGGGAAGATGGGGAGTTGGGTCACCAACTCAAGAACGATACAAAATATACCCTCGAGCTCGCAGTTGGTATATAGGCACACAGATGTGACACCGTGCACCCACATGTGAGGTAGTCGGTGAAGAAGCCCATGTCGGTGGGTGTCGCAGACAAACCGACCCCGCTCCACGTGCACTGCGCCTCAACCCTGAGGCGACTCGTTGTCTACGATGGTGTCAGAGCTGCACGAGCCCCGTGCCGTCTTGAGAGAGCGGAAACGCGATGCTCGCAGCTCGACTCAAACCACGCACAGCAGGACAGGAGGGAGAATGGGGCCCAGAATCATTCCATTGGCAAGGGCTGGGAGCGTGACAATGCCGAGGCGTACATGCCTGAGCCGCATGCAGTCGTAGACACGTGTCTGAACGAAATATTATGCGAGTTGGAATAATGGGTGAGGGTCTGACATCAGATATGTCTGCCTTGTGGGTACGCACAGTCACACCCTCAGCCAAAACTTCAATCGTCCAGCTCGTCCTCCTCCGCCACACTCTCCAGCGTGTTTTCCTCCAGCTCCTCCTGCACAGGCAGGCCTATCGCAAGGGCCTGACGCACGCTCCTTTCGTACTGTTCGACAGTGAGGGCGGCGTCGCCATCCCCAGTTGTCTCGATGTAGCTGTTGCCAGAGGGGTCGTCCATCACCAAGGTGAACGGCTGCTGCCCTTCAGTCAGCTTTTGCAACTCCTGCACAGAGAGGGGAGGGAGGTACCTTGCACGATATGCCATATCCTTGCAGTCTGTCGATGAGTCACTCCAGGCCGTCGACCCCTCTCTTGCTTGTTGCTGGTCAGTTGAGGGCCCCACATACATCCATTCCCACCCACTGCAAGGCAAGGCGCCGGTGGCAAAACCCAAATGACAGCCCCACGCACTGTCAAGAAAGACTCGATGGCCTCTGCGGTCTCCGGTGCACGCTCGTGCTGATTCATCTGGAGATTGGTGATTGACGTGAGCAGCACGTCCCGCACCGACGACACATCCCCTCTCTGCAAGAGGGTTTTGAAGGAGGAAACGGGGCAGTTCAGAGCAGAGCACAGTCATGAGTTACTCACTCAGTCAAGCACGCACCAGCCTCCACCCTGCTGCCCTGAGGATCATCGCACCGTCAAGCCCAGACAGGGAGTGTTTGACCCCAGAATCTCAAACTCCAGCTCAGGGATGGAGATGGTGGCGTTCTCGCTCTTGATCAGCATGCGATCCAGATCAGCGGCGCCCCCCACCTCCAGTCGGCACGTTACTCCCCGGGGGTCGTACTGGCCGACAAACTGCACCTGTTTGCTCCTGTGAGTTCCGTACAGGAAGGTGGAGTCCTGAATAGATGGTGGGGAGGACGGAGAAAGAGGGAACAGAAAACAGGCGCGATCAGAGCGCCCAGGGCATACAGTGAGCCTGGAGTCCCTGCGCGAGTGTGATCGAATTCTCCAGCCCATGAAAGGCGCCCCTTACGTGTGGCTGCAGGTCTCGCAGGAAAAGTCCCACACAGATAGGTCTGACCGGAAGCCTGGGAAGCTCTCGATGGAGGTGGAAACCTCGCCCTGCGAGCGAGGTCAGATAACTTCACAGCTGGAGGGTGCTTTCAGAGGCAACACTGTCACCGTACGCGCAGGTTCCCATGGCATCGGCTTGCATGGAGCGCCGGCCCTGTGACCTCACCTCGTCGAGGCAATGCACACACAAGGATGGGAAGCGTCCCCCCAAGGGAGCGTCCTCAGGGCCAGCGCCTGTTACGACGTGTGGTACTTCGGGATCCTCTGGCAGCGGGATCGGCATCCTGACGAGAGTTGGTGCGAGGTATGCTTCGCGCGCCCTCAAGCGCGCGCAGAGGAGTAAGAGTAATGGCCAAGAGGCTTGCAGGTGAGTCAGTATCTGAAAACTGCGGGAATACGAATTGAAAGTATGTGTTGCCTGCCGATCCCGTGGTTGCAGTGCCCACAAAGAACCTCACGCGCGATCACCAGCGTGCTTGGTGGGAAGCCCAGGTACTTCATGCTGGGTGTGCGATGCAGGAGGAGATGAGGCTCCTCCGCAAGATCGGTGAAGCCACGGGAGCGAATCCGCCTATGGATCACCTCTCACCGTCACTACAATATGCAACTTGTATAGAATATCCATACTATTGCATCACCCGACATACCAGCTGGCAGCTCGGTGACGAAGCACACGGGCGTGACGGTGCATCACCAAGCTTGTGCTTTGCTGTCCCAGTGTATCGTGCAGGGCTACCACTACAACATACGGCGGCTGATCACTAGTGGGTGGACACCATGTCGGAGCCGATCCTGGATGTGGTCCGCGGCCTGAGCACGGTGCGTCTCGGTGGGCTGCTTTGCCGTGGGGAGTGGAGACTAGAGGCCCTCGCTGTGCCCTGCACCCGGACGGAGGCTGTGTTGCTGGCCAGATTGATCCCGATCTGGAGCCACCAGTCCTCCTCGGCACCCGCAGGTGGCATCCTTTGCCATCGTGATCAACCAGTTGAAGGAGACATACTCCACCTTCTTCGTCAGCACGTGCGAGCACTGCCGCGGCACGGGCCTGCTCACCTGCCCCCACGTGCGTGGGCGAGGGCTTGGACGCGCTGTTGTTCTGCATGAAGGCTCGGGGTTGGGGTCCATGTCTCACACTGCATGGGGTGGAGCAGGCTGGGTTGCTTGAGTGCACCGCTTGCCCCTTGCAGTGCAGGGAGAAGCGGGGGGGAGGGGGGGGGGG